ACACATACTTGTTTATGAGGTTGTTATTCAATCGCCACATGTCGCTACGGCCGATGTACTGCTCCTTGAACACCAATTCCACAAGTTCTACCGACACACTCAGGGGCTCAACCAGCCTCAGGAACACTTCCTGTATGGAGTCAATATCAGATCAGTTCGAACGGCCCTAATCAATTCAACTTTCAGTGTGTTTTTGGAGTACCGATAACCGCCATGTGTATGTATTGATGGGGACAGTAGTAGGTATAATCGTACATCGGGAAACAAATTTCGTTAATCAGATTGGCATTCGCGCCATCTACGGAATAAATCAAGCCGGAAGCAAAGCACTCTCTGCGGTGCAATTTATTTTAAGATATTAAATTCGGATGGGGCCAGTGCGTAATTCGTGGCCATTCGTTGGTGTCTGGATCAATACGGAAACCACTACATACTGAACGCCGCGTATGAATTAAAAGAGGTGATATAGTATAGAAACATCCTCACTGTAAAGTGTACGCACACCTCGGTTCATTACGAAGGCTATTGTATACTGAAAACCTCCCCTGTATTGAGAGAGGTATTGACGCATACAGACGAACTCGCACTATAGAGTAAGTACACTTCTGAGTGGTTATGAGTGGCGTACTGTACGCCATATCGAATCACTAGCAGTGTGGACGTACGCACCAACCATGTACTTAATTTCATTTGAACTAGTACTGAAACGAATCGGGGAAACTACTGGTCTCGACGTGGAATAAGAACCATTGTGGATTTGAGAATTTAACTTAATCTGGACTAACAATAAACCCTACTGTGAGGAAATACTGGACTCAATATGGAAAGGTATCATTGAGGATGTGAGAACTTTATTTAATGGGGACTAATACTGAACCTGCTGTGAGAAAATGTTGGCCTCGACGTGGAACAATATTAGTGTGAATGTGAAAAGTGCTGAGCTTGGCGCGATAAAGTACCAAACTGAATGTGATAGGAATGAAATAGTACTATCGAGGATATGAGAAGATACTGAACTTCAAGTCAGAAAATACTGAACTGAATGTGATAAAGGACTGGACTGCATGTGATAGTAATAGAATAAGACTATCGGAATCGCGGAAGATACTGATCTCAATGTGATAAAGTACCGAACGGAAGGTGATAAAAATGAAATAGTGCTACCCGGGATGAGAGATGATACTGAACTTAACGTCATAAAGTTCTGAACTGAATGTGATTGGCTTGGAATAGTACTATCGGGAATTTGAGAAGATACTGAACATAATGTGATAAAGTATTGAACTGGATGTGATAATATTGGAATAGCACTAACCGAGGTTTGAGAGGATACTGAACTTAATGTGATAAAGTATTGAACTGAATGTGATAAGATTGGAATTGTACTATCGGGGATGTGAGATGATACTCCATGTAATGTGATAAAATATTAAACTGAACGTGATAGGAATGGGATAGTACTGTCGGAGATGTGACATGATATTGAACTTAATGTATTAACGTATTGAACTGAATGCGGTAGGAACGGAATAGTACTATGGGGTATTTGAGAAGATGCTGAGCTTAATGTGATCAAGTTCTGAACTGATATGAGGGAATGGAACAGAACCATAGGGATGTGAAAAGATATAGCACTAAATGTGATAGATTACTTAACTGTACATCTGTGGTATACCTTATTGTTGTCCTCATGCATTCGAGGCAACATGCTAAGCGCATCTGACGATCTTTATCTCGGAATATCTACTTTTGTATTTATATAGTATAAGTAGGAAAATGTAAACACACGATAAACTCATAGCCTTAATGTACCTGTCTTGGCTGGAATCCAAACGTCTCAGCGACCTCTTTCGCTACACTGACTGTGCCGTTCTTCTTCTTCAGCGCCAACCCCTCCTGTATGGTATTCTGGGTTACTTCCAGGTACAGTTCGTTACCATTGCTACCGTTACCCTGGTTACTGCCATTAGTACCAAATACATCCAAGCAGCGTACCCCCACCACATCACCTACGCCGACGATCAGTACATCTGGGCTGATGACTATCTCTGCGTTGAACTCTTTTTGATGTATCCATAGCTTGCTGTTGTTAGGTCGCTCCATAATGTTATGTATAATTTAAACACTGATTGATTTGCATATTTTTTATGCGTGTATACAAGTAGAATAAAGACAATGGCCCTCTACATACGGCTGGGATACAAAACAACGTTGACTGTGTGGTCACGTGATGTATCTGAGCAGATACGCTCTGTACAAATCAATAGATATCCGGGCTAATACTATCCACTAACATTTAACGCCGTATACCAACGGTTATATCCATATATCAATAGATATGTTCATTCGTATCTATTCAGAACACTGGAGTTCTGACGTGATGGATGACAGCACACCGAGCACAGCTTGTTGTCTGATTAACGGTGTCGAAACAAGAAGGCACTTACTGAAAGCTCAAATACCCAGGATGTGTGTATGTGATGTTCCCGATGTGATACCATCTGAATACTAGATTCGCAAAAGACAAACGTTTGAATATATACACACAGCCTGTTGAGTGTTGACAGTGACGCTGCAATATACTGCCGTATGTAAATAAACAAATACGAATGGTCGTACATATTAAAACACGTACCTTTTTTTGACTTGAAACTACAAATAACACGAAAGAACTTGTATGAAGCACAAAGATTTGGCCGCCAAAAAAAGGAGGGTCATAAAAACGCAACAAGGTCTCAATCGCTTCTGAGTGACGCTCACTCTAAATACATTCTTGAACTCACGTTTTTTTTTGTTGAAAAATTTATTGTTTTATATACCTTCATTATGACGTCACTTACTTCTATCTCTGTACTTTTTGACAGTCGATATACCATTCTTAGAAAACGACCGGAAACCGACCGGAAACCTACAGAAAGGTCAACAGGAAATCAGCAATGCGCTGAATACAGGGCTGAGTGTACTATGGCCTGCGTTTGTAAAAGAGATCTGAAGATGCTTTAACAGGACTATGGGACGATTGATTTATA